GCCTAGTTTTACTATGCATAACCTCATCTGCGCCAGCTATAGCCTACACAACAAGTTAGGACAATATGAGATATGGACTATACATGCGTTTTGAGACATCACTATTCTAATTTATGCAATTTGCCTAAAAGGTAAACATATATTTTAGAATGTTTATAGCCTATATTTTTATGGAAAAAGATAGGCCTTATTTTTTTTGCACTGTAAATAGCTGTCTGACTCACCGCGTCAATAACAAAACAGTTTGAAAATAAAACACGCATATCTTTTTCCTTCAAATTCTATCTTTTAAATATGGTGTTTGTCACAATATTGGGAAGAGCACGAAAGGGGTTATCATTAGGCTGCTGTCTGTGCGCGACACCTGTGAACAGAGGTTCTACTGTCATCGGACCTCTTCACTGTCTGTGCGCGACACCTGTGAACAGAGGTTATACTGTCATCGGACCTTTTCAACCTAGCCAATGGACTGTTTGATCAATGAGCGCATCCTTATGTCTGTCGTTACCGCCTATGTTCCAAAGCCATCAGACGAATCAAGTTCACATCAATGATCATTATTCGTGCAAAAGTATTTTCTCAGAACATGAGTTTTGCTATTTAGAACACAATTTAAAGCGGAAGTGTCATACGCCAAGCAATCCTCGCTGTGATTAAAACATTTAATCACATAGCCTACCACAGGAAAACTGTTCGAAAGCAGCACATCCACTACAAATATTTCTGTTTAAATTCATATACAAATGGTGTAATTTCTGGATAATAATTTCATGAAATTTCAGTGCTTAACTTCATTATTCAGTGTCATATTTAATCTAAATGTATATGTCAAATGTAAAACAGACTTAAAAATCATTCTGTTTGCATCCTTATTTCGCTCACTCCAGTAAAAGAGTGCGTACGCATGGTCTAGTTAATTTTTTTATAAATCCCGATATGTGCATTTCCATGGCCATTTTGTGTGTACGTAACGTTTATACATCAGGCCCCTGGTTAGTCGCATCACTAGAAGAAAAAAAGCATTAAAAAAACTGCAAGAGTGGTAAAATGTTAAGGCCAATCCATTCTGTTCGTTTCATACCAATCCTGTATGTATTCGACAAACAGGTGGGCTGGAGACGTCTGGAAAAAGACCTGCAAAGCCCCAGAGGTCTGGAAGCAGACTGGAGTTGAGTGTCTTTCCACGGATACATCAGTGACAGTCAGGGAAGAGATGTATCAAACGCACACATGGGGAATTACACAAGCTCGCAGGCGGTGGGCTGTTAACGCCCTGCAGTTTGAGGCCCCTGGAGAGTCCCGCAAGAGCCACGCTCGCCTCCTTATGACTGGAAATTCATGCAAGAGCAGCTTTATTTTAGAAGCACACTTTAACTGCAGATTTTCTCACATGGAAACAGCTGTCGAGTGTTTCGGGTGGTGTGAGTGAGCGTCAGTTGTTTGTCGTAAACAAGAGCAAGAGTCTAAACCTCTCGAGCTCCTCCAGTCTGACCTTAATTCCTGAGAACAGGACAGAAATCCGCTGCTTTGGCTCAGACATAATGTCAATTAATCCTTCATTTCTGTTGAGTCATGCATTACACCTCCGTGACTGCTGCCATTAAAGGGAGAGATCAGGCAAAATTCAAAGTCTGTCAAAAAAGACAGAAAAGAAATATTGTAAATTGTTACACTTCATCCCTGAATGAAAATGTTATAAAATATGCTCAAATTAAAATTATATTTTTATTTTGGTTATACTTTTATAAAGTAAGTATAATATTAGTATATTTAATATAAAATATGTAATAATATAATATAATATAATACAACTTTTTTTTTTCTTTTAAGAATTAAAACCACATTTTAATTCTTGGTTAAATAGGACAATTAATTATATTTTATGCATAATATAATATAATATAATATAATATAATATAATATAAGAAAATGAAATACAATCTGGAAATTTTTTTAGCAGTGCATTTGCATAATCTTATACTGATTTAAAATTAAGTACTATTCTTTTCTTTGAGTACCTTTTTAAGAAAGTAACAAATATTTTGTGCAGCTTTGAAGTTATCTAATGGCTTAAAAAAGCATGGAGAAACACCAGTTTAAGATGATAAGTCTCTGTAAATGTGTAGGACTGGAGATGGATATGTTCCTCGTGAAGAAAAATACAAAAAATTAAAATGGCTAAATGTGGGAAGGGTTTAAAATGCATGCCACGAGTCTTCTGATTTTTTCATCAGAACTGCCACAGAGTGCATAAGTAATTTGAAGATCCCGAGCACTGGTAGAAAAACTCAGAAGGAAAGATCTTTCACAGTCCTCTGAGGAGCCCTTTGAAGCTCTTCAAGAAAAGATAAAAACTCGAGCGTCCTGAGATTTGGCAGTATATTAATGAGTTCAGTTGACCGTTTTGGGCACAGTTTTCATTGTCAGAAAGAGCTGTGAGAGAACAGGAGATGAAATGAATGATTCCTCTGTATTTATCTTCTCCTGGAGCTTGGAGACTGCGTAACACAAGAAGAAGGTGTGCATTTCATAGTCTCAAAGCCTCTCCTGCTCCTTCAGCGCTGTTCTGTAGGCAAACACTGGAGAAAACTGTCTGGAGTGACGATAAATTATGCATTTTGTCTGGTAGAGTCAAGATGAAATGACATTTTACTTCCATAATGTGACATATTTCTGATAAGATTCTGATATGAGAAATAATGATGAGCAGGACCTGATACTGTGCCTTATTTTGTCCACGTTTCTCAGTGGTCATGACTTTTGTACAAATATACTGTTATTTGTTACTATTGCTGTACAACATTAAAACTGAGTGTGAATTTATAATAAATACAACCAATAAAACAGAAAACAATAAACTCACAATTGCAAGATACTGTATTAACTCAGAATTACAGGACAGACTCAGAATTGTGAGACAAACTCAGAATTGCAAGATATAAACTCTGAATTTGCGAGATATAAAATTAGAATTGCGAGATAAACTCAGAATTGTGAGACAAATTCAGAATTGTGAGTTATGAACTCCAAGTTGTGAGCCAGAAATTCAAAATTCAGTTATAAACTCAGAATTGTGAGACAAATTCAGAATTGTGAATTATGAACTCCAAGTTGCGAGATTCAAAATTCAAAATTCGAAACTCGAAATTCAAAATCCCGAGTTATAAACTCAGAAATGTGAGTTACAAACAGAATTGTGTTATAAACCCAGAATTACAGGACATAAACTCAGAATAGCGAGTTTTGAACTCAGAATTGCGAAACATAAATTCAGAATTGCGAGTTATAAACTCAGAAATGTGAGACAAACTCAGAATTGGGAGTTATGAACTCAGAATTGCGAGACACAAATTCAGAATTGTGAGACATAAATTCAGAATTGCGAGTTATAAACCCAGAATTACAGGCCATAAACTCAGAATTGCGAGTTATAAACCCAGAATTACAGGACATAAACTCAGAATTGCGAGTTATAAACCCAGAATTACAGGACATAAACTCAGAATTGTGAGACAAACTGAGAATTGCGAGACAAACTCAGAATTGCGAGTTTTGAACTCAGAATTACAGGACATAAACTCAGAATTGTGAGACAAACTGAGAATTGCGAGACAAACTCAGAATTGCGAGACATAAATTCAGAATTGCGAAACAAACTCAGAATTGCGAGTTTTTAACTCAGAATTGCGAGACAAACTCAGAATTGCGAGTTTTTAACTCAGAATTGCGAGACAAACTCAGAATTGCGAGTTTTTAACTCAGAATTGCGAGACAAACTCAGAATTGCGAGTTTTTAACTCAGAATTGCGAGTTTTGAACTCAGAATTACAGGACATAAACTCAGAATTGTGAGACAAACTGAGAATTGCGAGACAAACTCAGAATTGCGAGACATAAATTCAGAATTGCGAGACAAACTCAGAATTGCGAGTTTTGAACTCAGAATTACAGGACATAAACTCAGAATTGTGAGACAAACTGAGAATTGCGAGACAAACTCAGAATTGCGAGTTTTGAACTCAGAATTACAGGACATAAACTCAGAATTGTGAGACAAACTGAGAATTGCGAGACAAACTCAGAATTGCGAGTTTTGAACTCAGAATTACAGGACATAAACTCAGAATTGTGAGACAAACTGAGAATTGCGAGACAAACTCAGAATTGCGAGTTTTGAACTCAGAATTACAGGACATAAACTCAGAATTGTGAGACAAACTGAGAATTGCGAGACAAACTCAGAATTGCGAGACATAAATTCAGAATTGCGAAACAAACTCAGAATTGCGAGACAAACTCAGAATTGCGAGTTTTGAACTCAGAATTGCGAGACATAAATTCAGAATTGCGAGACAAACTCAGAATTGCGAGTTTTGAACTCATAATTGGGAGACACAAATTCAGAATTGCGAAACAAACTCAGAATTGCGAGATATAAACTCAGATTTGCAATATGTAAGAATTGCAAAATATAATGTGAGATGTAAACTCAGAATTCGGATTTTTTTTCCCCCTTGCACTTCCAAGTTTACATATAACAATTCTTACATTTTTCTCTTAATTCTGAAAGTCGCAGTTACCTTTCTTATTTTTTATTCTGTGGTGAAAAACTAGTTTCATCGAAATCACCCTCATTTATAAAACTAGAAACTAGTTTCATAAAACTACTAAAAAAGCATTTTACCATTACTAGTAAATAATAGTGGTAACAATTTTACAGCATTCATTAATCATTGTCAATGGTCGCTAGTAAAAATAAAATGGTTCATTGCTCATTAGTTCACAGTGCAGTAACTAATGTTAACAGATGCACAGTTTGATTGAAGACATTTATTAGTAAATTCTGAAATTAACATTAACCTTAAGATGAATTAATGCTGTAGAAGTATCACTCACTTTTAGTTCATGTTTACTAATGCTAACAAATGAAACCTTACTGTAAAATGTTGCTATATTTAAAAAGTTATCATATTTTCCAGCATTCAACTTCATGTGGCAGATGTTTAGTTTCATTAGCTGTTTAATGTCACTCTGTAACCAAGAATAAATACATTGTAAATCAACACATCTTTATACACTTTGCGTCGTACGCCATTTCAGATGAAAAGAAACAACAACAGTACATTTAAAAATGCTGAAAAAAGGAGGTCATTTAGGTACATGGTACCGAGACGTATTCATAAAGCAGTGTGACATCAGAAATATTGCATCATTTAAAAAAAACAAAAAAAAACAAAACGCTGATACGTGCCGTGCTCATTTCAGCTCAACTATTTTTTGAATATACATCATTAAAGAATTTAATTAATTAATTTTTCTCTGAATGTGTTACTCTGAACCCTGTAGAAAAGACATTATTCAATGCAGTAAAGTGTTGGCAGAATATTTAGTAGCCTGTTATGTTTATGATAGAAACACTTTGTGATTAAAAAGATTTATGAAAGGACAGCTTTGTTTCTTATTTTTCACTCTCAGCTCCTCCTCAGTTCTCAATGCATCAATTTTTACGATCCGTTTCCATTCGAGAACATCTCCTCGCTGGAATTTCACTCTCGACGTTTTAAAATCTGGCACATTTTCTTTTCTTTCTAAGAAACAGTGTGAAAAAGCAGTCTTGAGACTGGGGTTCAGACCCAGTTGGCTGCCGTTACCCTGACAACAGCGCAAACGCGCATATCCAGACCAGAGCCAGCGGGACGGGTTGTGTTCCTCTCGTGCCAGAATTCATCTGATCAAAGCCTTTGCTTTGTGGGTGATGGTATCTGTGATTGTTGGTATTTTCCGGTGTCACTGCAAGAGAAAAGAGAGAAAAATGTAAGTCGTTCCACCAGACGTGAACTGATCAGATGGGTTTATTCGAAGCATGTGTTTTCATTGTGATGAGGAATGAGGATAGCCAGATCAAAAACAACTCAACATCACTATCAAGTGTTCCTGGGAAGTTCCTACTTTTGAGTCGTAACCGAGTAGTGATGAAATGATCACGTTTTCAAAAACAAATGCACACAAAGAACTGTTAACGAACAATAGCAAAAAAGCTAATCACAAAATTTATTTGGTTTATGAGGCAACATGATTGGATAACTAAACTGGTTTTCCCGTGATTTTTTCACACCTGATGTGCATAATTTGACCATCGTTTAGTGCTAAAAATTGGCCTGTTTCCAAGCCATCTGAGATGTAGATGAGTTTGTTTCTTCATCAGATTTGGAGAAATGTAGCATTAACGTGCTCATCAATGGATCCTCTGCAGTGAATGGGTGCCGTCAGAATGAGAGTCCAAACAGCTGATAAAAACATCAAAATAATGCACAAGTAATCCACACCACTCCAGTCCATCAATTAACATCTTGAGAAGAGAAAAGTTGCAAATTTGTAAGAAACAAATCCATCATTAAGACATAACATTAAACTGTTGCTTCTGGCTAAAATATGAGTCCTCTATCTATCTTTACTTTCTCCAGTAAAAAAGTCATTTTGTCTGAATCAGGAGAGAAATATGCACAGCTTAAGCACAATTTACAAGAGAAAACAATCCTTAAACAGCTCTAAACAAATGTGTGTGTGGATTTTGATGTGAGAGACAACAGGAGATGGGCTTTTTCACTGGAGGAAGCGTTATTACGGATAGAGGACTCACATTTTAGTTGGAAGCAATGGTTTGAAGTTAAAAACATCTTAATGATGGATTTGTTTCTTACAAACACTCAGCTTTTCTCTTCACAAGATGTTCACTGATGGACTGGAGTGGTGTGGATTGCTTGTGGATTATTGTGATGTTTTTAATCAGCTGTTTGGACTCTTATTCTGACGGCACCCATTCACTCCATTAGTGAGTAAGTGATGGAATGCTAATCTGTACATTTCCCCAAATCTGTTCCCATGAAGAATCAACCTCATCTACATCTCGAATGGCCTATGGGAGAGTAAATATTCAACATTTTCGTTTTGGAGTGAATTGTTCCTTTGAAATAACTGAATGCATGCATGACCTAAATCTTAAAGTTGGGGCTCAAATGTTTCCCAATTGAATTTAAGAAAACATCATGCAACTGGTTAGTTGCGAGTTGAAACCATTTTTCAACAAAAAGGATGTGTATGTTTTCAACATACATTCGGCGTATCCATCTGGGTTTTGAAATCTCATTCAAATGGATGTACATAACGGATGCTGTCACGTATATAACAAAGTGCACATGCATAGTTTCCCAGCGTTCCTGCCAGAGGAGCTTCACCAGTCAAAAACTACAAGCGTCCCTCAGCAGGATCCTGCTCTCAACAAAAGAGCTCTGAAATATTTCCAACCATTTTGTTTGTACGTTGCACATACTTTTTTAAACCTTAAGAATCATTCAAGACAAGAACTGCTCACATTTCTTGCCATTAGACTGCTTGGGAATATTTATGTTTGAATTTGCTTGGCGAAACAGAATCCATTAAAAACGCAGTACGGAAGGAACTATACATATTCAAAGTTACAAAAGGAGTGTACGGGTCAGCGAAAACCACTGACATGTCTCCCTCAAGGAGCCACAAATCATGGTTGAGCTTTTGTCAAATAAATCTGTGTGGACTAAAATTAAGCAGATATCGACTCTCTGCTCTGATGTCCCCAGACGGTCATTTAAAAGGGCTGATCGGAGACACACGTGGGATATTTGGCAGCCCGCTGGTCCGACTCAAGACATCGATCCTCGTGCATCTTCAGAAGCGGCTCAATGAGAAGCGCTCGCATCCGATGTGACACTTGTGAGGGAAAACATGCCAGTGGCAGTCGAGGCACAAATCCTGCTCGTGCTGGGGCTCTTCAAAGTCCAGCGCAGCTTTGAGAAGACGCAGAGCAAACAAAGATGAACAGAACGGACCGAGCGTCTGATCTACACCACTTCTGATTCTGACAGATCTTCACAACAGAAGAACAAAAGCAGATGTCTTTTTGTAAACCGACTATGGGATCTGACAAACAACGACCTCACATGCTAATGTCGACTTTTAATATGCCTTCTTTGACATTTATGTTTGCAAACAATGAATTCTAACTATCATTGAAAGTTAAGATTTAATAATTGTTAATGCAAATTAACATTGATGTAAACTCCTTTAAAAATAAATAATATATTTATAAAATATAAGAAATTAATTATAAATTTATACCCCACACACACGTGCTTACAGTATAAATAATAATATAAATAATACAATATTTGTAGATAATGCTAGATTAGTAAATATTATACAATAATATGTAACAATATATTGCATACATATATATATGTATGCAACAATTCATGTACTATTTTACAAAGGGAGGAGAAGACTCATCTCACATCTCCGGTTGATGTCAAGGGCTGTGTGTCCAATCAAACGTGACGATATCTGAGCAAATGAATCTGTCACTCAGTTAAATCAGACAGATGCCAAGATGGACAGGTTGCGTGACATGCTCTCATCCTCAAAAACTGCACAAAGTTACACACAGACAATTACGGTTCCGCGCTGAGACGTCGCTTGATGTCCAAAGCAAAACCAGAGCCACTTTAACAACATGTTTGGCTTGACGTCTAACAATTAAGATCACACAAATTCAAGTCAATCTCTGCAGTTGGTGCCCTGATGCAGCATGCGTGACTGTTGCGCAGCTGTGTTGGTCATTACGAGCGCTGGCCTGATTCCTCCGTCCCTCCGGACCCGTGTCAGGAAGACAAGAGTGATGACCCGTCTCCTCCCATGCATCCCTGCTTTCCTCCGTCTCAGCACAGCGGCACAGGAAGACCGAAGATTGGCAGGCGTAATCTGAGAGCTCCTGCTGATTACTTTCTGGACACGGACAGAATGCATATCGGGCCGAGAGTAAAGACAAACGCGCTCAGATGAGGCCAGGGAAGCCAATAATGACAAATGCATCTCAGTGCCTGGTTAAAGGCCCCAATCAATATCTTTCCAATTACAATTTAGCTCAGGAGTCTGAAGGAATGGCCCATGTGATCGCTTTTAATCAGCCATTAATCAATTAAAGTCACATTTACATTTGTCCATTCTAAACGTACAAAATTTTTGAAGACACATTGGGCCACAGTGCGCTTTGTGACCTGCTTTGGATGGACTACAAATTACGATTAACATTTTAACATTTGCTGCAAAGTGATGTTTGCACAAGAAAATCTTAGTATTTAATGTGCAAAACAAGATTTTTGCAGTTGGATTAGCTAAACTTGGCATAACAATAATAATAATAAAGAACCGATACTAAATAACTATTATAATGATTATGAATATTAAATTACATTATTCATATTTAATAACTGCAACAACAACCACAACATTTATGATTAATTGTCAATATTAATAATGTTTACAATGAACAATTATTAATAATTAAATTAATTAAATAATGATTATTAAATTAAATTATTAATATAATTACATTATTTAATTATAACAACAGCAACAAAAAAACACAGCAACATTTATTAATTATTATTAATACTAAATAATTATGAAAAAGAAGTACAGCAAAACAATTGTATTGATTACTAACACCAAATAATTATTAAATAATAATTATTATAAGTATTATTAATACAAAATAATTATGAATAAGAAAAGAAAAACAACTAAAACATATTTCATGATGAATTATTATTAATAAAGTACAATGTTTAATTATTTACAGTATATGCATTATTTAAATTGTATATAAATTATTATATTTAATACATTTTATATTTAACAATTAATAAAATTTGAAGTTAATTAATTATTATGATTATAAATAAATAAATACTAAAAAAATGTAAATAAAATAAATACTAATCCAATACTAATTATAGTCTATTTTCCCTTGTCATATTCACTTTAAACACGTCTTAAAAAGTGACAAATGACCAACAAAAATAAAAGAGCCTAGCATTTGAGAAACTCTGAGTATGTTAGCAAACAGAAGTGTTTTGCTGTGCTTCTGTAGCGATACAGTGCTCTCTGTGTATGGTTAGACAGTGAACCTGATGTCTTTTTGCCCCAGCTGATTCTCTGCAGCCTCTTCAGGGACAGAAATGCAAAAACACGTGTCTGGGTCGGCCTAAACAAACGCCATAAAACGAGCATTAGCGCCAGAAGAGGCTCAGATAATGCAGCAAAGACAAAGTTGGAGGCTGATGTAAAATCAATGCAAGTTAAATCTCTCGGACCTCAGAGAACAATGATCAATAACACAACCACCGGGAAGAAAAAGAGCAGAATAAAGAGGCAGTCGAGGGTGGGGACGGAGGAAGTGAGCTGTGTCTTACTCTACTGTACGTGCCAATTCAGTTTCCACTCTTAAACACAGAGAAACATGCATGCAAAAAGTTTTTTTTGTTTCACACATGCATAACCGTTCACAAAAATCAATTTCATGGGAGCAATGTAAACGTTTCCAGCACTGCAACTATAATCCCAAAAACTTCTTTGTTGATGATGAATTTATTCATATGTTCTCCATTAAATAACGTGCCAGAAATGCAATCAGTGTGAAACGCAGAACAAACCGGAAAGAAACTCCACAACTGTGAACATTTAGATACGCAGGAGTAATTGAGCCAAACGAACAAAACACAAACAGCATAACCCTTCCAGAAATCATGTTCCATAGCCGAGAAGGAAATCATTTATGACCCATTTAATTCTAAGGCTGTGATGACATCCAGATTCATGTTAACAATTTGAGTTTAAAATGCAATTACATGTCCATTATATATATATATATATATATATATATATATATATATGCGCATGACCCCTTTAATAAGAGC